CTCACATAAGGACGAACGTGAAGCCTAGTGCGGCTGCTGCGGAGGGGATACCTGTTTTTGTCGCACTCATTATGTTAAATGGCGAAAATTGCTTCCAACACGTATTCCAATTGATGAAACCTGTGAAGGGAAATATGACAAAACTTTCGAAAACGTCATATGTCAGCGAGCAACAGAAAAAAACAACATTCCCCGTTGTGGCATCTGTCTTTATGGCTTCATTGTTTGGCAGATATGGCACTGTGTGCGCATTCCAGTTTTTAGCTCTAGTTCATTGGTTTATCGTTTTGTTTATCGTTCGATGACGTCATAACCAATGGGCGCGTTTGGGTTCACGATCGGTGCACTCAGAGTGTGCACTTTTGTCTCTCTTCCGTTATTTTTGAAGCTTTGACAACGCTTGATTGTGTTTGGTTTGACATATTTTGAGCGCTCCGAGTGAGCTCGATAAACTCCGAGTTTGTGGAGTGGGCAGCTGGAGCGTGCATGCGCAGATCAGATGTGTTTAATCTGTCTGTACAACCTAACCTATTTTCCATGATAAGATAAATAAACAACCCTAAATTTTTACATTTATTTGTTAGCTGGATAGTTTTGGCTACAGTGACTCTATAACCCACAGTGGCGACAATTGCTGTCTCATTTTTGAGATTGGTTCTAAAATCCCATATATTTATATTCAAAACGCCGCCATCTTGTTCCCAACCCCTTGTTATTTTTAAATATGAATATATGGGATTTAGGTGAACATCCATCATAAACCATGGAAAACAACGTATTTGATGGACCTAATAATGGTCATCAAATACGTCGATTTCAATTTTTTATGATAGATGTCCATTCAAATCCTATATACTTACTAATATTTAAAAGTAACAAGAGGTTGGGAACAAGATGGCGGCGGGACCTCTATTGTCGCCACTCGCCACTGTATGTAAAGGTTTATTTAGCCACTGTAGTTTTAGCTATTTTGTTTAAATGTTAACAATCAAATAGCTAGTAAATTCTGCATATTTGTTTACTTTTAACTGAATTTTTTCGGTAGTCATCATTACTGGTATTATTGAACATATTTTTCCAAGGGAACTTGGCAGCCTCAGAGTGTTTAGGTCCATTTTATTGTTTATATAGCACGATATTTTTAGCAGAACACAAAAGAAAATAGGGCTGTTTGAAAATTTTCGACTAAAATAAAAAATAAACGAGAAAACTCTGGTGCGAATGCGGAGTGCGGGATCGGAATCCAAAAAATACCCGTCATAAAAAAACAGTAAAAAAATAAACAATAATCAGCTGATTGCTCAACCCAGCACTTTTGCACGAGTTTATTTGGCTTGACACGGTGTACCCCCTGTGACGTCACGTTACTCCGTAATCGCTCTGCTCGCTCCGCCAAGCGTCAACCCAAACATGCCCAATTTTAGAGCATTTTCGCGCCCATTTGTTATTGAATAGGTACTTCAATAATTAATCAGTTACTAGGGGTTCAGTTTAAAGAGGATTTAAATATAGAAATATACTTCTTGAGTATTTTGCTCCACTCTAAATACATTTTCCATCAAAATAAAATTTAATGCAACTTCCTCATTAAATAACCTAAATTGTGTTGGTTATTCAGACTTTCTATTGGTTGAGACGCCCTACCTGGACCAGTGCGCATGCACGGAGGACATTTGATAGGTTGTAATGAAAATGACCAGTTATGCCATTACTGCCGCTTGGATTTGGTTCAACTATAGACTCTAAACTGGAACAAAATTATGCATGACGAGACTCCCAGACATTTGCGAGACTCTCGTATGAGACGCGAGACGAGACGAGACTTAAGGCTGCGAGAAGAGACTCGAGACAAGACTTTTTATTTATCGGCGAGACGAGACGAGACTTTCATAAAGTCTTGTCACTTTAGGGAATCACTAAAACTAACCCAAACCAACCCGTCCGCGCCTAGTGCGATCTAGTCCTCGTCAGGTTTTTTATTTTAAAATCAAACAAGGCGCGGTCAAGGAAGGCTACGTTATAAATAAATTGACTGTTTGTTAAAATAAAATGCTAACGTACGAGGATTAGATAGCACTAGGCGGACGGGTTAGTTTGGGCATAGTCCTAACTACTTCGTAGTAGTTAGGTCTACGGTTTGGGTTAGTTTTAGTAAGTCTGCATTTCTTTGATTATCATTGATACAATTTGATATGTCCCTCTTTTGCTTAGAGGTCGCCGTTATAAATGTCGCTCTTTTAATATGTCGCTGTTTTAAATCTCATTATTAACATATATCGCTTCAACAATATATATGAAGAACAGAACCCTGAAACAGAAGAAGAAGATGCATCAGAAAAACAGATCAAGGATATATTTAGTAAAAATTTGATCCTTTATGATGGAACTGATCCGGAGTGCAGACCAAAATTACCAAAAATAAGACCGAATAGACCGAAGACCGAAACGGAAAAAGTACTGAAAACAATTACCACAGAGATTCCCAAGCTACTTAGTGAAGAAGACCCAATTCTGTAAACACAACTCATAGTATATAGCGCAGCAATAACCACAGTGGAAGTAATGGGACACAAAATGACAAATGAAAACTCAACTAACAAAAAGCAAGAACCGAGATGGAAAAAGAGAATTGAGAGACAAATCAATATTATGAGAAGTAATCTGACAAAGTTGTGCACATGAGTTAAAAGTAACAATAGCAAGAAACTGAGAAAAGAAGTCAAAAAGTTCTTAAAAACCAAGAATATCAAGGTTGGAGACGAGGAATTTGTAACAAAAATGGCGGCGCTGAAAGATGAAATGAAGCAGCGAATAGCAGTACACTGGGGAGGAGATTAAGAAGGTACAACAAAAGCTACAAAAGAAGAGAACAGAACAAGCCATTCTTTAAAAACGAAAGAGCATTCTACCACGAATTAATCACCAACAAGCAAAAGATTAAAAAGACACCAGACAAAAATGAGCTCACGGCGTTTTGGAAAAACACATGGAAAACAAAAGGTGAATATAACAGAAGAGCCACATGGTTGAAAGCTGAGAGGAAGACCTGCGAACGGGTAAAAGCAATGAAAGAAGTTCAAGTCACAGAGAAGGATGTCACAAAATTATTTCGAAAACACAAAATTGGAAAGCAGCAGGAGTTGACCATTTGCACAATTGCTGGTGGAAGAACACAGCGATATGGAAAATGTTAGCAGCACAAATCAACCGTATTCCAAACAACAACAAAACAATGCCTGGATACCTGACAAAAGGAATAACGTTCATGATCCCTAAATCTGAAAAAACAGAAGAACCTAAGAACCCATCACATGCTTGCCCACCTTGTATAAAATAATTACATGCGTCATAGCAAATAGTATAGAAAAACAGCTTAGTGGACAGAAGCTAATTACTGAAGAGCGAAAAGGAAGCCGAGCACGAACACAAGGATGCAAAGAACAGCTCTTGATAGACAGTGTGATTACACAAGATGCGAGACATCGTTAAGGAACTATTGCAGTGGCATTCGATTCTGTGCCCCACAGCTGGCTGATCGAAGTCCTGCAAATATACAAGGTACACGAAGGAATTGAGGAGTTTCTTAAAACATGTATGGGAAGCTGGAACAAAGCTGCTTGTTAATACAGCAGAACAACAAATAACAACCGAGGAAATACCCATACAGAGCGGAATTTTCCAGGGAGATTCGCTTAGCCCGCTGTGGTTTATACTCAGTCTCAATCCTCTATCTAAAGCCTTGTGACAATCGGGTCTGGGATACAAACTCAAGAATGGTGAGCAGAGTTACAACATATCTCATCTGTTCTATGTAGATGATCTCAAGCTTTACGCTCCAACAGAGAAAGACCTAAATCGAATAATTAGCCTCACGGAAACATTTAGCACTGACATAAAAATGAAATTCGGATTAGACAAATGTGCTAAATTGATGGCCCGCAAAGGAAAGCCGCAAGAATTTGACAATCTACAAAATGAAAATATTCACTATTTTAAGAAAGATAATCACAAGTACTTGGGCTACAAACAGAGACTAATAATAGACCGAAAATGCGCAAAAGAAAAATTAAATAAAACTTAAGAAACCAGAGTGTCCAGCATTTTTCGTACGAATCTTACAGAGAAAAATAAAATAAAGGTTATTACTTCATGGGCAGTTCCAGCGATAACGTACTCCTTTGGGGTTATTGGATGGTGCAGATAACTTAACTAGTCTTCAAATGTGCGGCTAATTATATAAAAATTTTGGAAAGAAAGGAGAATTGAATCGGACCAATAGAACGCGAAATAAATGTAAAAGTATGAAAGGCCCCATTGGCACTATGAGCAAATGACTAAAACTAATTTTTCCTTAGAAGTTTTGCATGCGGATGGGAAAAAGTAGCCTCACTTTTCTGGCCTGCAATTCGGGACTTCCCTGATGATTAATGGGGGCCCCAGAACGAATTTGAGGTCACTTCGCTTCAAGCCACCTGGCTCTATTGTCTACGTTATATTCCATGTTGCCTTGTTTTAATGTAATTTTATTTGACTTTTAATTTATTGATTTTTGGTTTTAATTTTTATATTTTTTATCTTGACGTTTTTATGTGATTTTAACCTAGTATCAATTTTAATTTTGACAAACAATCCTATGGCTGTGATATATTCAAATAAGACATTTTCGATGTACCTATACTTGTGATTTGTATCTTTATGTTGCCTGAAGATGAGGTGTAAATTGTAGACCCCAAAACTAGTCGCATCATAATAAAGGATTGTGAGAATAGGACTTCTTTTGCATTTCATTTTAAGACGAACTCACATATGTTGTCAATTGGCCATTGAAATAATACTAACTTATTATACCAATAAGTTCGAAACCAGTAGCTAGCTAGGAAGCTTGATTTTCTCTTCATTGTTTTACAAAGGACAAACACACGTATTGCATATTCCAGCTGTGTCTAGAAACGATACAACCTCATTGTATGAAGTAAATGTAGTGGACCGTTCATTTAACGCCTGTACTAAACTATTCTGATAACTCATAATAATTATAATAAAAATAACAGTATGAAACGTTGCCTATATTATTTAACATAAATATAAACGATTAACTAATAAATGTAAGTATACAAACTCGATGATGAATGAATATAATAGAACGCACCTTGTAGGTACTATACATATCATCTGATCACAATCTCATTAAGCCGGCACAGCAAATAAAAAAAATCCTATATGCATTATAATAACTAACTAAGAATTAGGATTAATTTTCATTGTGTATTAACAATTAATTAATTAAAATTTTGGCTAATAGAATAATAGAATGACAAATAAAATGGAATAAAATACTTAGTGACTTTAATATTTATAAGAACAATTTTAAAGCATATTAGTATCTACTACTTGTGTTATTAGTATTATTTTGGTTAAGAGTCGATTGCACTGCAGCGGCAGCAACGTTACTTGCGGCACTTCTAACATGCTGGTTGCGAAGAACGACATCTGTAAATTCTTGTCTGGCCTTATCCATGCTAGCTCCGGTACTTCTGTACATTCTATGAATCTGAAATTTGAAAAATATATACTTAACCAAATGTTTACCTCTTTGTAACCACCTTTGCCTTTTTAAATATTTTTTATTTTCAACATATAATCTGATTTTAATAACTTTAGAGAATGTAGGAAAAAGAACTGAGGGTAGACCACCAAAACGCCAGATAAAATGTTGCACATCTACATCGGAAGAGACATAAGAGAAGAAAATCTATAGGTATAATTCTTAGACAAAAATTCAATCGAAAATTTGGGATGCTACCAAGTAGATTTGAAATACTCTAGTGAAGTAGCATCCTTTGACATTGTTGGAACAGTACACTGACAGCTTTTTTTTTAATACTTTTATACATAAGAATAATTAATTAATTACTAACTTTTTATTTTCCAAATTGTCAAAAGGCCTTTATTGCAATACATCCATTTTTTTTTAAAATAATTTTCTAAAAATTTGGTCACCTTGAAATTTTTGTTGACATGCCAATTTCAACAATGCTTTATTCTCGGCTTTATTATTTAAGATAAGATAGAAATGTGCAGTTTCTATGTTTGATAGTGATTATTAGAAATACGTCATCGCTTGGCGCGTTTTAATGATTTTAAATTTTTCCAGTTTTGAAGTGGCTGTAGAAACTCATTTGAATTCCTAGATCATTTTTTTTTTGGCAAATATATCTAAAATAGTCCCTCATTGTGTGAAAGAGCCCATTTTTTCAGAATACCACAAGAGCTTTAGTTCGAAACTACAAATTACCAATAATTTCTCACACTTGCGTGTTTTCTGAAGGGATAAAGCATGGTCCTATGGATTTTGCCAATTTTATGATATGTGCATCTTATGTTTTATGAGATATGAGCTGAAAGATGGACTTTTCTTGTGAAAAATATACGATAAATAGCTGTTTGCAGGTCAAAATACTGACAGGTCAACATATTTTACTTCACTCACAAATGTTTATAGGTTATTGCAGCTCGCAAAATATATTCAGTTACAGGGTAATTTCTTTGCAAAAAAATCCATCTCTCAACGCAAACAAAGTATCAATACTAACAAACGCAAACCATTTGTTTGTATCAAAAAGTATCCCGACAACCATGAAAATGACAGGAAAAAATTATCAGTAAAATTTTGAAAAACGACACTGGTCTTATGGGACTTCTAAAACATGAGTGAAATAATTCCGGAGATTTTTTGTAAACATCACTTCTCTTATGGAAAAATTTATACACGAGTGAAATATTTGGTAGAATTCAATAATGCATACAGTCTGCCTACTGAGTCTAAAGCTATGCGGTATCGATAAGGGGAAACCGGAATCTCCTTCAGGTGATTGGTGCAATATTATTTTAATTTTGCAATAAAAAAAACACAATTGTTCAATGAAGCTCGAGTTACACAAATTTAGAAAAATAATAATTATTGTTGAATATAATTTTTTCTAGTGTTTAACCTTTTTCGATTGTGCATCTTATGAGACTAAGATCAGTACCTACGTAATCAAATTTATAAATAAATGAAGAACAGAGTCTTTCTTTGTGATGATGAGAAACTGTCTGCTAAATATCCTGACGATATCGAACAGCACTGGTAAATGCTTCAATCAATCAATCATGTTTATTGAAGAAGCAATACATGCTGTATAACATAATAGTTAAGCCTACAGATAAATTTAAAATAAGGTAAAAAAATAACAATAAATAATTGAATAAAACACATGACAAATTGGTTCCTTTGAAGCTGACTAGCCAAATAAAATTTTTCAGTTTTCGAATCTTCTGTCCGAGCTTTCGTCCAGGTATTCTTGGAAACTGTAGTAAGCTCTCTGTGCCAGGAATCTTCTTATTGTTTTAGCGAATGAATGCAGATTCAGCTCTCTAATTTCTTGTGGCAGTTTATTATAGAATGCTTTTCCTTGGTGAAATATTGTATTCTTGGGCCGTGACGATTTGGCCTGTGGAAGGCTCAAGGTGTTGCTCTGTCGCGTACTGTAGGAATGCGTATCACCCCATCTATTATATAAACTGATGTTTGCATGTATAAAACGCAAGTTTTCATAAATACAAAGGTCGTATATGGTAAGGATCTTGAGCTCTCGGCAAAGAGGCTTACAATGTGTGGTCTGGCTTTTAATGCATTTCAGGATACGCATGGCACGCTTTTGCATTACAAAAATTCCATGGTTAATGTTGTGGAGTATCCCCAAAGAATGATTCCGTAGCGTAGATGACTTCCAAATAGAGCGTAGAAAGTTTGCTTTGCTGCCGTTGTGTCAATATAAATAGCTGTGGTATTTATTGCAAACAAAGCTGAAGCTAACTTCTTTGCTAATAGATTTATATGGATATCCCACCTAAGATCACATTTAAGCATTATTCCAAGAAACTTATATTCACTGACTGCTTGTATATTATGGTTTCCGATTTTCATTGTGCAATTTAGTGAGACTTTTTTACTAAAATTCATATACTTGGTTTTTGTGATGTTGACAGATAGTTTGTTAATATCGAAACAATTTTGTAGTTGGATGAGATCCTTTTGTATACAACTATGGAGGTCGTCTTCATCGATATAGCACTATTTGCAGCGGTGTCGTCCGCGAAAAGTGTGCAGGTAGCTTTGACGGACAAGGTCGGCATATCATTTAGTCATTTAAAAATAGTAGGAACAGTAAAGGTCCCAGTGTGGAACCTTGGACCACCCCAATGTTGATTTTCCCATTTTTTGATGTTATATCGTTGCCTTCACGATTCGTTATTTATATATTTGTAGCTGGCGGTCTTTTAGGAAGCTTCTTATCCAGTTGTTGATTTCACCCCTAAATCCGTACCACCAAGTTTACCAAGAAGGATTTCGTGATTTACGCAGTGGAAGGCTTTTTCCAAATCAAAAAACATTGTTGCGATTGCCTTGTTGTTATTTCTGGCTTCGTATATTTTCTGGATTGCGCTGTAAACAGCGTCAACGGTGTTTTTTCCTCTTTGGAATCCAAACTGTCCCCGATGCACTGATATGGGCCTATAATTGACTAGATCAAAGTACTGTCCACCCTTGTGTACAGGTATGATTTTTGCAGTTTTCAGTCACTCAGGAAACAGTGCTGTCTCGAATGAGTCGTTAATTGCATAACACATTACATTAAGCAAAGTAGGTGGTAATTTTCTGAGTACGTCAACTGTAACATCATCAGTGCCTGGCGCCTTTTTGCTTGCTATGAGTGACAGGGTTGTTTTGATCTCTTCTGTCATAGTTGGTGCAAAGAAAAATGAAGATGCGGTTTGGGCTAAAACTATGTTGCATATTTTCGGGACATTTGGTATATTATGAGCAATCATGTTGGCAACTGCGGAATAATGCTTCATTAGTTCGTTGGCTGCATCTTCTGCGGTTTTAATAACCACATTGCTTTGACTTGCTTTTTATGTTTCCTAGTTCTACCGGCTATCTCATTAATGATGTTCTAAGTTTTTCTGGTTGAGTTTTTGCAGTTTTTAATTTCGCCAATGTACAGGCGCGTGTCAAACGGCCCCGCAGACCCCGCCACGCGGGGAGGCCACCGGTATATTGGGGGCCCCCGGGCCCCGAATATAATCTAGGAAAAAGTAATACCTATGTATATCAAACAAACTCCAAAAATACAAATATGCACATTTAAACATTTCAAATCCATATTTAATTTGTCACCATTTCTTTCGAACATAAAAAATGTGAACGCCCAAACAATTGTCAACCCTGGCTGGTCGAAACCTCAAAGATTCCCATAGGCTATTATTCCCCGTTTTAATGGGAATTTCCGGTTATTAGCAAGTCTTTGTTGTTTCACTTGTTACGTTTGAGTTTTGAGTTGATATTAAAAATATTAAAATGAATAGTTCGCCCAAATATCTGAGTGGGGCTCAAAAAAGAAAGCTAGTTGAAAAAAAGGAGAAGGAGAAGAAGAAGATTACCAAAATTGATACGTTTTTCCAAAAAAAAAAAAATATTGTGTATAAATATTTACTATAATGGGTTATTTTTGGAAAATATAATAGTGACATAGGGGGCCTCAAAAAAAAGTTCGCGGGGGGGCCCCCAAAAAATTTGACACGCTACTGCCAATGTAGTATGATTGCTTAGCTTTTTTGGCGACAGGTCTGAGAGATATACGAGTGTATCTTCTATAATAGAGTTTAATGCCAATAATATTGGTATATTTACATATTATGTAGCCAAGTGATCTCTGATGTTAACGGGTCTTTTCGTAAATACTGAATTGAAGATGTCTATGAAAATTGAATGAAATGGCTGAAATTTCTCTGAAGGAGCATCTGTGTACATCGTGCTAGAGAACAAGTTCTTGTTGTGCTCAGAGAACGACCTACGTGTCATCACCAGCGATCTGTTTTGTACATAAGTATTTTTTATATTGCACATAATCATCTCGTGGTCTGACAGATCAGGGTTCATGGTGGTAACTACTTGGTCTCAGTTAAAATGGGTACAGAAGTTATCAATAATGGAGCAGGAAGACTGGCTTAATCTGGTTATTTTTGATACATACATTTTCATATCAGATGTAGCTAACGCACATTTAAATCTTGTTTTTGCTTGGCTGTCTTTCATGTAATTTATATTGCAATCACCCACTAGTATCTTCTTGCCTCTGTGGGGAAGGCTGACCAAAATTTGACACAGGTTTGAGCAGAAGGTTTTGACATTTTCTGTGGGAGCTCTATAAATATTGATGACGTAGGTATTTATATCTTCTATTTCAACGCAGCAGCATTCGAACGACCTGTCTAAATTGAGCGATGCAAATCGTTCAATAGATTTGGATCCAACGTTGTCTTTAACAACTATAACGCTTCCCCCATGGGACATTGCAGATGTAACGTGAATGGATTTTGTTGTGTTCCCGCTAATGCAAATATTTTCGCTGGTAGTGATCCAATGCTCTGTAAAGCAGACGATTTCCGGGTATTGCAAGTTACACAGTAGCTCTTCTATTTCCTCGAATTTGTTTCTAATGCTCTGAATATCTATCGAAAGTAGGTCCAGGCTCTGTGTTGGCTTTTTCGGGCTTCCTACGACGACTCTTTTGAAAATTCCTACTCTCCGATACGGCCATTGTTTCCGACTTTTCTCCGTTCTTGTTTTCTTCTGTACTAGTTTTGTCTGGGTCGGGGGCATCCCCTATTGGGCTTGTTTCTTGCGATGTATGGGCGTTACTAGAAATGCCGCCCTGGCGTTCTTTTGTGTTTCTCTGTTTAGGGATCGTGTATACGGCATTTCAGGCTTATTGCCTGAATGGCCGGTGACATTACGGTTTGGTAATGAAACAAAGGTAGGTCCTGTTACTGTGTTTGGACTATTTGATAGTGCATGTTCGTCTCTGATTCTTCTGCTAGGAGTCATATACTTTGTGACTTTTTTCGGAGCTAGCTAGGAATACATTCTTTGCGTAGCGCAGCTGATCATCGTTAGTAACACACTGGAACTCGTCAGAATTTAGGTATCCGATTTGTGTGTCAAGTAGTTCTTGGCATATTTCTAATCTTTGTTGGTCAGTAAAACCGTTCAAGAAATGAGAAAGTCCGACAATTACTGTACTAGCGTTTATATTTTTCAGCATTTGGAATATCTTTTGATCAACCTCTATCCCTCTTTTGGCGTTCTGAAGTACTCCGAAAAATACTGCTCAATCAGCTGGTGTTTAATTTCTGCATAGGAGAGACTTATACTGATAGTTGATATCAAAAGCATTTTGTTTGTGGCTCTTTTGAAAATGAGACCGAATCACGACACACTATTATCACCAATAATAAGGAATTGGGGTTTTCTGGAATATCGGTTTCGATGGGGGTTATTATTTTGATCTTTTGAAAGTTTACTTAGTATTTGGTCCTGTTTCTCTCCAATACAGCAGTTATTCACAGATATTTCCAGCAGTTTTTTGTGGATGCGTGAATTCTCTAGGTTGATCTTGCTTTATGTGTTACATTTAAAACAGCTATGCTGACCGCCTGCGAAGAATCAACGGGCTTCATCACAAGAAGAGATCATGAGTTGTTTGATGAGAACATAAAAGAAATTCCTTGAGAAATTCAGAACATCATTAATCAGAAGAGGAGATCCTACATTATCTGCCAAAACGACCCAAATATAGCTCGCAACAAACAAAATTATCTTCAAGCAAAGGCTGGAGTACAGAGAAGTACAAGAATGCTAAAAAAAAAAACAAGTGGTGGATACCGAAGTCCAATGAATTGGAACATTTTTCAACCACTAACAACCTCAGCGCCACAAAAGCAAGCTATGGTCCCTCCACAAAAGGTTCAAATACCCTTAGATCCAGAGATGGGAACCAGGTACTCAGTAAGTTTTCTTTCTATCTGGACTAGACTTTTCAAGATATAGCAGGTTTAACACAAAATCATCACTTTTTTGGCATTATGAAACGGAGATAATTCGACTTTTGTCTGTGGTTGGTCCATAAGCGCCAATGTTAATTTAAATTTTCAATACTTCAATTAAAAATATAATTTGTACGGGAAAGGACCCCGCACACCTCTTATGGGTATTTGGTTTTCTGTCAAACTCAATGGAATTTGATATATGACCTTGACTTCCTGATAAAAAGTTCTCATGGGCCCAAACCAATCATATGATTAGTTTTTGAGATACAGGTACTTTAATGTACAAGAAATGTACACATTTTTTATGCATTTACCGTATAATATACCATACATACATACAACCTAATAATATACCAGGATGGACAGTAGGTATCCTCACGCCATCACAGGTAGATGGTAAATGCATATAAAATGTTTACAGTGGGAATCATTGCAATTGGCACATACTATACTCTTTTAACATTCCTCGTATTAAGTCAAAATTCTAACCAATAAATCTATTCAGTCCAGGGGTGTACAAATATTGTTTTCCTTCAACAGTTTATCAAAACCAGATTAAAACTATCATTTTCACCACTGATTTATCTGACCCGATATATTGCCCGATATTGACAAAACCTGTGTCAATGAAGTAAAATTTTAACACATTACGGGGGATATTTATATAGTGTGTGCCATTTGCAATGATTCTTACTGTACATTTCTTGGACATTAAACAACTTCTATCTCAAAAACTAGTCATAGGATTGGTTCGGGCCCATGAGAACTTTTTGTCAGGAAGTCAAGGTCTAACACATATCAAAATTTCATTGAGTTTGACATAAAACCAAATACCCATAAGAGGTGTGCGGGGTCCTTTACTAATTTTCTGCCAAGATGTAGGGAATTTTGAGCTGAATTGCGGGATGATCTTAGTTGAAAAATCTTGATTTGTAACCTTAAAGCTTGGACGAATTTGGGACGACAAGCGGATCAGTAATCTACAAAATGTCCTATATTCCTTCCAAGGTCAAATCATGTTAGCCATAAACTTGCTGCGTTAGATGAAGTTCCTGCTGAGCTTTGTAAGGTGGGGGAGTGTGCGCTGGTTCACGCATAGGTTCATTGCCAAAATGTGAAACCCCGAGATAATTCCCACAGATTTGCGAGATACCCGGGCTGGACCTCTGTAACCGATAAAGATCGGTATCCCTATCGCTATGGCACTTGCTGTCTTCTTCTCTCTCTCTTTTAGAAATCAATAGAGAATGTACGTCAATAAAGATAGAGAAAATATCTCTATTCGTTACAGAGTCCCAGCCCCTGTATCCTCACAATATCCAAAAAAGACAATAAGGAACAAAAAGAAAAGATAAAGAACAATGTGGAAATTGTTGAGGAATGAAACTCCTCTTTACAGCCAAAAAAAATCTTGCCAGGATTCTCGAATCAATCCTATCCAAAACACAGTGTGGCTTTAGACCTAACCGAGCGTCAACAGACATAATTTTCAGTGCAAGACAAATGGAGAAAAAAAATCGAAACAGGAAAAGAAACTTTTGTATATGGCATTTATAGACCTTGCGGAAACCAATTCCACCAGCATTTAGGCAATGATCATCCAACATCAGCTTCACTGGGCTGTCCATGTCATTTGCATGCCTGACTCGCATCTTCCTAAGCAAGTTATGAATTTCCAACTAAAAAATTGCCAACGCAACAAAGGGCAATTGGAACGATAGAAAGACGACAAACACAATCATAGGAAAGAACATGAACATCTGATAAGAGCTGACCGCTGATTGGGTGTGGAAGAGATTGTGAGTTTCGAATAGGCCCATTTAGCCATTAAAGAACGCACAGATAATGATGCTGCCAAAATTCTTATACACTGGAAAAATACTATAGATGCAGATATAGATTTGAGCCTGGATTATCATAGATTGGTGTTTTGTAAGTCACTTTTCACTAAGAAGGGTAAACTTCCAGTGGACACTGGATAACTTATATCATAGCCATAATGTCAGAATAAATAAAATGCAATTTAGTTGATAATTTTAAGGGAATATTCTGGGGATGGTCCTGTAATTCGTTTGAGAATGTGTATTTAGATTGATAAATAATAAAAATCTATAATTTTTGTTGAGATACGACTTTTGCAGCAAAAAATGCTTTGTAAATTCGTTTGAAGCTTATATTGGATGCATGAGTAAACTCCAGATCTTCAATCTCATAAGGCCAATTTACAATTCCAGTGTTTGTTTTATTAATTTAAAGACATGTTGTGGTGGTTCGAACAGCAGATAAATACTTCATTTTTGGGATAGGTTTCTACATCAACAGTTAATTTTCAGTTATAATAAGTCGGACAAAAAGTGACATGGGGTTTATCAAGGTTTTAAGTTTAACTGAGAAATAAATAACTGCACTCCATTATTCAATGAAGAAATCGCTTCTCAATTATCCCAAATCACTTGCCTTGGTAATCATAAATAAATCTGCTGCAGCGGCGAATGAGAAACCTAAGGCAATGATGAGGCCTATGATTCCACAGAAAATAGTCCATGCTGTACCATCAAATGTTGCAATTGCAGTGAAAATTCCTCTGAAAAAAATATTATTGGCTTGAGAATTAAAAAAAAATAAAGCATGTGGCACTTACATTGTTCCTGCTCCAGGTATACCAATAGCGTGGATTGTGGTGACCACAAATTGAAAAAAAAATATGAAGAAAAATACCATAAAATTGAAGGATGAATCTGAACGGAATGCTTTGTATGCAGGCCTAAACCAGCACAGATATGAAAACGGAGTAAATAACAACGTGTACAATATCCCTACACCGATAACAGTAAAATTTTTTAATAGGATTCCTCCGAGAATATTGGATAGCATCACAACACCATGAACTGAAAAAAGAATACACTATTATGTATTAGATCATCCAATTTATTTCGATAAAATCTTACATATCCAAAGGTAGTACAGATGTCGGACAATTCTCTGAAAGTCTAATGGTATGTCAACTTGTATATCCTGATAGAAGCATGGCTGAAAACAACACTGTTCTGGTAATGGAGGCCAATTGTTACGTCTAACATTATATGATGATTGTCTCATTTCTTCTTCTCTTCTTGCTAATTCTTGTTCCTTTCGTTCTAGTTCCTCTTGTCTTCTCTAGGATTGATAAAAAAAATTGAAATTTACAAACTTATAATTGCCAGAAACTAAGATTGCCAGACGACAAAAATAGACTTTCTATTTAAAATCAAAAACAAAAATCACAAATGAAAATACAAAAAATGCGGCAAGTACAGTGTCAGAATGGAAAAACAAGGTCAGACCAAAAAATAATACAAAAAATATATAATATAACGAGTTTACATTGGCAGAAACCGAGCCGAAGTCGAAAGGCGCGGTGGGTATAGTAGTTATAGTTACACAAATTTATCAGCATGAAATTTTATCCAGGCTGTAAAAGACCTTGTCCCTCAGAAGATTCTTAAGAGACACTCTGAATGATTTTAGGGACATCAAGCATCTGCCTTCGCGAGGCATATGGTTGAATATTTTTCTTCCCTCATATATTAAGGACCAGTGGGTCTGATCCAGGGCTCGGCATATTTTATATGCGGTAGTAGGGTCCCGATCACTATACCGATTTTTGTACTAGAGATGCATTGAATAGTGATTTGGGTCACTGGCCAAATACCGGATATTTAGCCGACCCTCACAGCCAAATAACGAATATTCGGCCGGTCCTCGGCCTGGTTTTTTGACCGAATATTCGGCCAAATCCGAATATTGGATTAATGTGTATTGTTGGTGGCATCATTTCTTAGGTTTTATTCTGTTTTAAAGGTTGGGTTAGTTTGGGGTTTGCATTGTCATTGTTTGTAGTTGGCAATACCGATTTTTATTCTTATTGATGTGAATTCTCGTGACGACTTGTGTGTTTATGAATAATTGCCGAATACTTCATCAATGCTGGCCGAATAACGATGATTCGGCATTTACCTACTCACCCTGTTTAATACTCAAATAGGCACGGTCAAGAAAACTGAAAATTGCATCATGGGTACCCAGAGAAGCCTGAAAACCAAATTGGTGGGAGGTTATTGGCTCATCAGAAAGATAGTCCCACATTCGCCTTTCCATAATCTTTCCAATAAACTTTGACAATGTGGACAGTAAGCTAATAGGGAGAAAGTTTGAAGGGCCATCCAGATATCCTCCCTTGTCTAACGGAACCATGATTTCTTCGGGCATTGTGGAAAAACTCCCCGCGACCATGAATCATCAATCGCCAAAGAAAGTACCTCAAGAGCTGCATCAGGCAACGCCAATAAGACTTCAGCGGAAAGGTCATCCCCACCACTGCCTTTTTTGTTTTTCATATAGGAAAGCGACTGTAATTTCATGTATCATACAAAGAAAGAAGCAAACAAACCCTGGATCAATAAATATGTCAAAAAAGTGATTGGGTTGGTGTCTGTTGGTAGATTCTCAGTCAACTCAGCTGCCATTCCACAATAGTACTCATTATACAGGGTGTCCCATAAGTCACGGTCCAAACTGAAAGAGTTGATTCTTTGATTTATTTTATGACTAAAATTTCTAATAAACATAGGTCAGTAAACGCTCCGTTACTGATCTACAGGGTGGTGAAATTTTAATGTATTCATATTGAAAATGAGCAAGAATATGGCAGCAAGGGCGTGGCTTACTTCTAGATTCCTACTGAAAATGATCGATAATATGGCGGCTCGACCTCTATTGTCGCCACTGTAGGTTGAAAAGATATATTGAGTCACTGTAGTTTCATCTAGCTAATTACAGATATTTGGTTTTTAATTTTTTTCTCGATAAGGGTCGGTTATTCGAAAAAACTACAAGAGAACAAAAAGTTTCTAAATAAGGTAGAAAAATAATTTAGTTCTTTAGAATCTACCCGCGGCGCATCGCAAAGAAGTTCAGAGGCAGAAAAGGGTATGTGACCCCTGGAAAAACATCACCCTGTAAATTCTGGCAAACGTTTGAAATGTGCAATCATTCAGCTCCTATTTCGTAATCTATATTCCAAATTTCAGCCAAATCCCTCAAAAATTGCAGGAGCTATAAAGAAAAAACTAAAAAAATATTGAAATTTCAACACCCTGTAGCTCGGTAACGAAGCGTTTGCGGACCTTTGTTTATTAGAAATTTTAGTCATAAAATGAACCAAAGAATCACTCCTTTAAGTTTGGACCGTGACTTATGGGACACCCTGTATATAATATATACGGGTGTTCTTTAATATCATGTACAAAGGAAAAGGGGTGATTCTTTGGTTTATTTTATGACTAAAATTTCTAGTGAACATAGGTCCGCAAGCGCTCCGTTACCGATCCACAGGGTGTTGAAATTTTAATATTTTTTTAGTTTTTTCTTTGTAGCTCCTGCAATTTTTGAGGGATTTAGCTCAAATTTGGAATATAGGTTACGCAGTAGGAGCTAAATGATTGCATATGTCAAACGATTGCCAGAATCTACAGGGTGATGTTTTTCAGGGGTCATGTCCCCTTTTCTGCCCCTGAACTTTTTTGCAGTGTGTCGCTGGTAGATTCTAAAAAAGAAAATTGTTTTTCTACCTTATTTGGAAACTTTTTGGTCTCTTGTAGTTTTTTTGTATCACCGACCCTTATCGAGAAAAAAATTAAAAAACAAGTCTCTGTGATTAGCTAGATGAAACTACAGTGACTCAATAAGTATTTCCTACCTACAATGGCGATAATAGAGATCCCGCCGCCATATTTTTGATCATTTTTAATGAGAGTCTAGAAGTGAGCCACGTCCTCGCCATCATATTCTTGCTCATTTTCAATTAGAATACATTAAAATTTCAACACCCTGTAGATCGGTTACGAAGCGTTTGCGGACCTATGTTTATTAGAAATTTTAGTCATAAAATAATCCAAAGAATCACCCCCTTCCGTTTGCACATGATATTTAGGAACACCCGTATAATAAAGCTTAAAAAATTTTACTGTCCAGACATTTAGAATTATGAATAATTGACCTAATAATGACAAAAAGTAGAAATAAGTACATACTAACCTGAAGTTCCTCTGTATTTATTGTAGATTTTGGTTGTTGAACTACCTGTTGACCACTTTTTGTATATATGGGAGGTTCTTGAGTAGGTTGCATAACTGCCGGGCCATTGTTTAAGGGTACTGCAGCAGCATACTGGAAAAATTGGATACATTGAATGAATTGAAAAAAGCTAGTTTATCCTAAAACAAATTACATTATTAACAAAGTCTGGACTCACATATGCAGGTATACAGCTATGTGCCAACGCTATTTTGAAAGTAATTATTATGATACTGTCTAATGCTAATTGAATTAGATATTAATGAAACTTTTTCTCTTTGGTTGCTATTAAAGTTGGGAAAATTCTTCTTAAGAATTATCTTATGTTCACCAGTAAAGTATTTTCATTCTGATTTGAAACATGCTTGATTTTTATAATTTTTTTGTATTGTGTCTCGTTAACTTCAACCGAGACTTCATTCACACTTAATTTTATTATATTATGTGCATTTAAAATTGTTTTGTTAGCTATATCTCGATAATATTACTGTTTGTAGTTAAGAAATTAGTTTTAGTTTAGTTTAGTCAGCTTGTAAACAAGATATATTGTAAGATCTTAGACAATAAAACACATTTTCTATCAGTTAGCCTGCTTTTTCAATCAAATACACATCGTTTTATTGCAATTTATTTTACTGTAAGATAAAGTGCTACTTTATTGCTTACCTGGACTACCTCACAACCTGCTAAGGTGAAACAGGTATTCTCGAATTTCAATTTTTTCATTCAATTTTTTTAATTTCTAATAAAAACCAGTCGCAATTGTACATAAAATCATGTATATAACGCTTACCTAAACAGGCTTCATTGACTCATTATTCAATAGCCTCGTACAATAAAGCCTTACTTTATGTACTTGTTATATAAATAGCTATTATTTTACACATAAAGTTATTCCGAAGTTGAATTATTTAATTGTACAATGTTCAATGTTTTTTGTTCTACATATAAAGGATATTTTGAATTTCAATTATCCTTTTGAACAATGAAAATAACCTTCAATGATATTTACAATTTTTATTTTCCGTATACCAGTTATTCTGAATTGAAGTTATCATTTTGAAAATCACTTTCAGCCGCTGAATTGTTTAATTGCACAACATTTACAGTCGGATTATGATAACTAAAATAGGAAATGGAATAATGTATTTATATTTTATCGATATGTCTCGTAAATACGGTGTCAATAGTGGTGCCATTTTTAGTTGTGGGATCATTTCTACCGCTATCCGAGCACCTCTTACATATACTACCAGAATACCGTTGTATTCGCATCGACTAGCTATCTTTATTCCTCCCCTACGCTAGCCGAATAACACGTTGTGTGTTTCTTTTCCTTCCACGTATACATTCTCTATCTTTATTATGCAGACCCGTGATAGCGCAGTACCGTTCTCCCGTATCTTTTTTACTCACGCTAGTTTGTCACTTATCTTTCTCTCCACAGACTAATTGCCTGTGTTCCCCCTCTCCAACAGCGTGAAGACTAAGCGCTACACGCACCTCTCTTTCTCTCCTACGCACAGGGCTGGAACTCTGTAACAGATAGCGATCAATATCTCTATCTCTAGTGGCGTCCCCTCTCTATTGATTTCGATAAGAGAGAAGGAGACAGCAAGTGCCATAGCGATAGGGATAACGATCTCTATCCGTTACAGAGTTCCAGCCCAGGCTCCTTGTGAAAAGCGGTAAATTTCAGCGTTAAACGTCCAAACTTAAAAAGGCAACTTCACAATTTTGGCTGCCGGAAAAGGTTGCTAGCTCGGTTGCTAGCGTCACACCGATTAGAGAATTGATAGTTTATAACGAATAAAATGTGTAAGATAAGTAACTCGATATAATTTAATACCGGGTGTTTTTCAAAACCCGCTCACCCCTATAACTTTTTTATTTTTCCAAATAAACAAATGAAATTTTGCGTGTTCATTAATGACCCGGATGAGCATTATTTGACGTATTCAATTATTATCACTTCCGGTTTGACCGGAAGTGACCGTAACTTTCTTATATTAAATGTGACACTAGGTATATTTTCCCTTATTTCAATAGAAAACTACATTACGAGTACAATAACACCTCATTTGTCACTTTTTGACATTTCATCTCCAAATTATTTAAATTTTTACTTTTTAATCTAGAGCGCCATGAATTAGTTAAAATGCTTAATTTTGATCCAAGGAACCTGGGAAAATTTGTTTTGATCTTATTTTGTATTTTATATCCTCAACAGACTCATTTAAAGATAGTAGAAGCGCATTTTTGGAATTATATATTTTTTTTCAAATGGAAAGGGTATGGCTCATAAGCATATTCCGAGAGAGCATTTTCTAACGAACAATTTAGTACCACACAATCACTAGTTTATTCAAATATTGAACTAAAATTTTCCAAAAATATTTAAAATCCTAGGAAAATTCTTCATTTGAGTGATGAACTAGCGATTGTGTGGTACTGAATTGCTCGTTAGAAAACGCTCTTTTGGAATATTGTAATGAGCCACACCCTTTCCGCATTTGAAAAAAATGAGATAATTACAAAAATGCACTTCTACTAATTTTTAATGAGTCTGTAGAGGATATAAAATACAAAATAAGATCAAAACAAATTTTTCCAGGTTCATTGGAGCAAAATTAAGCATATTAACTAATTCATGGCGCTCTAGATTAAAAAGTAAAAACTTAAATAATTTGAAGATGAAATGTCAAAAAGTGACACATGAGGTATCATTGTACTCGTAATGTAGTTTTCTATTGAAATGGGGAAAAATATACCTAAGAAAGTTGTAATCAATTCCGGTGAAACCGGAAGTGATAATAAATAATTGAATACGTCCAATAAAGCACATCCGGGTTATAAATAAACACACCAAATTTCATTTGTTTATTTGGAAAAATAAAAAAGTTATAGGGGTGAGCGGGTTTTGAAAAACACCCGGTATACTTTGTAGATTGAAATATTCATTTTATCAATTGTTGAGACCTGCTATTTACCATTAGTCCTAGGAAATCGAAACCTAACATAAATTCAAATGAAAAAATTCAGTGCCATATTTAGATGAATTAAGTTGATTTGAAAAATCATTTATTGTCACATTTATATCATTTCTTTGGTGAATTCTGAGGTCAGTATACTGATACTAAGTTACCTCATCAGTTATTGTCAGTTCAGTATTTAAAAAAATTCGCAGTAATATCAATGGAGTCTCTTATAACTTAAGAGAGGGAAAACATATGGGCTTCATTTTCAAAGATCACCAATCACCAGTGTTTTACCTCGGTGTTTTACAGAGATCTTTTTGAATCTTTTAACGTAGAAAGAATATAGAATATATAGGTATATTCTCTTGAAGTTAACAGGGCATATTTATAATTACCAAAAAAATAACAATAATTTATCATTTTCGACATTTTCATATTGTCAACTCATAAATATCTACAGGCCTACGGACTATAAAAATAAAGTGAATTTGACGCTCGTACTACAGAAAATTAACTGACTCTGCTGACGGTAGCATTAATTCTTATATAAATTACGTGCACCGCAATGCAGCCGGGCAAAGGTTAGTCTCCACAGCCTTGAGCTCCTAGAGGGTACAGGCCAAAAGATTTTCTCTCCAAGTTGAGTGTGACTTGCTACAGTTTGACTGACATCCTAAGGTGAATGTCATGCTGTAGAAGCCCCATTCAACACCCCAAACCTAGACCTATGGAAACTAAGCTCCTCGAGGGTACATTTTCATAGGGCTGTTTGGGTACTATTGACAGCGTAGGGCATTCCCTAAGAACAGGCATTCCAAGGGAATGTTATATGATGGCCCTCCAGAGAATAACATTTACTGCTATCTACTTTTGGTAAACCCCATTCAATCATCTCCTATATAAGTTAAGGTTTAACAATAGATGTATAACTAAATACTAGTGGTGAAATCTTTCTTTCCCCCCCATAACCTCTTTTCAGGATAAACCTTTAGCCGACGCAGCCAAGTGTAGTAAAAGTGGTGGCACCGCTGACCACAAACAACCTAAGCGTGACAATATATCTCACTGTTATCATTATCAATAATTTTTGATGACAAATTAATCTTGCACCTGTCCCTGATAACTGAAATTTCTCAGCAAAGGGACGGTTTTTTATTAATCTGATTCGTTGGAAGTCCAAATTCTAGTTAAAACAAACGAATCTATAAAATCCAGAAGTACTACCCTCGGTACTAACACATATGTATATATTACTATCTACCTACCTACTTATTTTGTTCAATATTAAAATATAAGTAGGGACAAATATTATAATAACATGTAAACCCAAATGTATACCTACCCATCCCAGGTAGCACTGTAAAATGGGACAGGATGGCTTTGCATTTGACGGTGAATTTGCCTGATTTATGAATTGTTTGCTAACATTGAAAAAAAAATCAATTTGACAAGATCCCTGATTGTCTGCATGCACACCTTAAAGCAAGAAGGCTTCCTAGTAACGGCTGGGACTCTGCAGATGAGGGAGAGAGCGACGACGTCGTTACTAAATCTCAGTGTGTAGGTATGACCGTTACAAATTTGGAATTTTAAGGTTTATAAAAATTATCTAATGCAGTAGATTTGCTTTGTATTTTTTTCAAATTTATAGATGCTTAACGACATGGGCATAAAATTTATACAATAATATGAAAAGTTTTTTTTCTATGATATTGTCATTTGTTTGAGGACTGGAGATGCGATTGCCCAACAAAAAAAAAACATAGCCCAGAATATATGTGAGAAACCTCTCTGGGGAGCCACGGAACCTTGTCGTTGGTGGAGAGGCTCAGCGGCCGTGCCTCCCTGCAGAGATGTGGAGACGTTTGGCCGTGACCAAGGGTGGCTCACCATACCGGGAAAGCACACACAGACACAGCATCCCTGGGTGTCTGCTAGACAAACAGCGTGGAGGCGGACACTCGACTCGGCCTCAGCCCGCAATCTGGGTCCTGTTTCGGGATGGGGCCGAGTCGACTGCCCTCTGTGGAAACCTGCCTGGTATATCTCGCGCTCTAAGATCGCCCATCTTAGGGCGTGAGAGCCTGCCTTAACCGGCCGGCCAAGTGGAAGGCG